GCCGGAATTGTCCTTTAAGATATATACATATACCACATTTTTCTGTGAAAGCTGAGATTGACAGATGTTTTGTAATACTGCAAAGTACTCTCAGTAACAGTGTGAAAATATATTCCGTATACATAAACAACTTCCTGAATGTTTTCTTTAGCATAGAGTTTACAACAGGTCTTTCAACAGAACAACTAACAAGCTTAAAAACAAACTTTAACATCAACTCTTGTCTTACAAGGGTAAATACAAGCCAAATGTCACTCACACAAGACCAAATCCTGTATGGCAACTGCAAATACAGGCCAGGATGTCACTTTAAATGATGTGTAATCCTTGTAATGCCCTGCGATGCGCAAGGTCTCAAAGCAAGTGGAGGCTGTGGGGTATCTGCCCTCAACCACTTCTACAGAGAGACTCGGTGGTAGAATCTCCCATCCGGTCCAGAATTTGACCAGGTCGGTCAGTTCAGTTGGTGTTGCTATGGAGTAGATTAAAAGGAATTAAACATCTTTGACTTTATTAGTCATCAGGATAAATGGCCAACTATGGCACTAACAGCTTACACTCAATAAAAGATTAGTCAAACCCTTGACTAAGTTTACAGAAAAATAATTTTTAGAATGAGACTGGTTGGACTCATCTCTTGAGTTGAAAACAGCAACATGACTACTTTCTTTTTTTTTTTTTTTTTTTTAAATCGGGTGGATTTTTAAAAAATAAATTCATGTCATGTTGCTGTTTCCAGCTCAATAGTGAATGTGTGAAGTTCATGATGAATATTTAAATAGCTATACAGCTTTTATACTATAACAGGTAACTAATTAATATTTAAATAGAACTTCCTACCATTAGCAATGAACTGTCGAAGATAGCCTGATATGTGGCATTTGGTGTCAACTGAACAATCGTCATCATCGTCACTATCCTCACAAGGCCATGTGAGTCGCTGAAGAAGTACCTGGATTGAAAAAAATAGCATGAAAGAGACTTTGGTCATTTTTCTATCTTAAAATCACATATAATTTTTGATCAAATATCACTGGTTGGTAGCCGTGATGTCAATTATGGGCTATATATGTAGGAAAACAAATAACAAGAACAAGATTGAAAACAGACAGTTATACATGCTGACCAGGTATGAACCATAATATTTACTAGGAAAATAACATCACAAGATCAGAGTAATTAAAATTAACCTCAGGGCTGAAATTTCCTGCTCCCTCTTTCGGAAAAAGCAAGGCCACTGTGTCAGGTCTTTGGGTCACCAGTGTCCACATTGAGGTTTCTTTAAGACCTTGTCTCAGCTGCTTAATTTGTCTTGTGACACGTCCTATTACCTGTTAATAGTAATAAGACAGAGAGGATAGAACACGTAACATTCCTTATCTAAAAGCTTGAAGAGTAAGAGAAAAACAATAATTCCATTTGAATACATGCATTATGCTTCAATCCATTTTACCATGACCATTTTTTTTTTTACCTTGAGAATAAATTAATCAGAAAAAAGTGCAACAATTTAATTTTGTCAGACAATTTTTTTAGAAACTTAGCAATGTGCATTTATAACCAAAACATCACTCACAGGATAAAAAAAGAATTGTGACTTTCACTCACAGCATGGATCAATAGCTTCTCAAAAAGCCATCTCCTGTTTTTCTCAGTTAGGTAAGGGAGGTCCCAGGCATGGGCCAAGTCCTGGACACGCTGTTTATTCTTATCTGAGAGTATGGATCCCCCTTCAAGCTTCAAGACAGAGGGAAACTGATTAGGAGATAGAAAAAAAGATGTGTAAAGCAAGATACTACAGATGGGGGACAAATTAAAGGAAAAAACAGAAACACCTAACCCCTACAGTGAGGGGGATTCATCCATAGGGGTCACTGAATGGTTTGATGAAAATATAATGTGAATTATATACTATGGTCTTCACAGTCACCATATCTGACCCAATTGAACACCTATCATGTTCAGTTAAAATTCTGTTATATTGTATTGGAAAAGTGAAATATTTGTGCACAGGGGAAATAAATCACATGATGCAGTAATTATAGAGCAAGTTTAGGCTGTGAAAGTGCAATGTTTGTACAGTTCAGTACCCTGATACTTGTCAGTGTTTGAATTTTCAGGCAGACCCCATTACCTGTAAGTTAAACTACACAGCAAGTTCACGCAGTATTTGTTGTCAGCCTTAGGAAAACCTGAACCAGTGGTTTAATAAATGAGGTATTTGTACTTGTGCTGTCTTTTGTTATTCTACCACTGAATGAGAGGGAAACCTATTAGATAGTCAATATTTTTCAAAAGGTGTAACCCTTCACCTTGTTCATTTGCAGTAGTTATGTCTAATATATTACATCTAAGTGTGAAAAGGAGGCAACTTTAGATTGGGGAACATGTGTTGGTTAATAAGTGGTTCAACTATTAGTGAATTAGTAATTGATCAAGATGTCACTTTAAGTATGGGGGACAAATTCTAAGTAAAAAGACTTAATTTAGAAGTTATTTGGACACTAATAACCACTTGTTATTTTGTGTTTTGTTATGTAAGAACAGACATATTCATTAAGTTGTATTAAGGGAGAATTAACTAATTCTTGGTTGGGTACTACCACCTTATAAAGTCCATACTAACAAAGCATATTGAGATCGTAATCATATACAAACAACTTCTAAACCTACTACGTAATAATGCAATAATTCTGAGGTTATTGAGGGAAAACTTCTTAGTTAATGGCTAATGGTTGTATAATTAAGGCCATGCAGAAATAAGGCACTTAATAAGTATTAATAATGACTATTTTAAGAGCCTATTATGTTACTAAATTTGGCAATAGCCTATAAGCACTTAATTAATGGTGAAATAGGTGGTACTTAATATAAAGTGTTACCGGAATGGGAATGTTCTTATGTTCGTCCTAAAACTTATGCTCGTGGCTCTCTCTTCTCTCTCTCTTACTCTCTCTCTCTCTCTCTTCTCCTCTCTCCTCTCTCTCTCTCCCCTCCAGGTGCTGCTCTTCTGGGTGCTGATGTATTACCAGAGTAATAGAGCTGCAGACCTTCCCAGGGATCCAGAAGTGGACCATCCTTCACTACAGTCCATTCAAAGCTGTGTGGGACTGGGTCATTCTGCTCTTAGTGATTTATACAGCCATATTTACTCCATATTCTGCTACATTTCTACTAAGGTTGGTGGAAATTCACCTGACCTGTATGAGTTAATTATGTATGTAAGTTTGCCCTCTAAAATACTACAGGGCTGATGAAGATAAGCACTTTTAACCAGAAAAGCAAGATGACCATGACACTCTTTTCCTTCCAAATTCACTGTTTATGAGCAAAATATCCGAATTTTTCATAGTCATAGCTCAAATATTGATACTGATGTAATCATGTTTAATGGGATGAACAATGAAGTGATCATGTGACATCATAATGACCTGGAAAATCACTTTTTGTCCGTTATTCAACACCATCACTCAGAAACAGAAGGGGACCATATTTCACAGTTGGTCGGATACTGAATTGTTGACATTTTTGTCTCAAAGTTCATTGTGACTTCAAAACAGCCATATTTTAAGAATGAACTGGGCAATCCTAGACACACACACATATGTTGACTGGGACGACACAATGAGTAAATGGTAAATGGCCTGTGCTTATATAGTGCCTTTCTAGTCTTTCGGCCACTCAGTAGTACACTATATGCCACACTCACCCCATCCGCGCACATTCATACACTGATGGTAGTGACTGCCATGCAAGGTGCTACCTGCTCACCAGAACGGAAAATAATCATTCACGTACAAGCAATTTGGGGTTCCTTCCAGTTAGTGGACGACCCACTCTACCTCTGACCTACAGTAAACAGATGTTCCGTCTCTAGTGCATGCTATAACAAATCAAGAAGTGTAAGTGAGTGGTTAACAGTGTACTGTTTGCTATTGTGAGTAGAAGGAAATGTTCAACATTCAGTTCAGTGAGACCTATATGTATGGGACATACGGTGGATGGATATGTATGGTCATCACAGACTTGATTAATTCCTGACATTTCCTCTAGTGCCATCCTCAGGAAACATGAACTTTTGTGACAAAATAGCTCTAATCTGCAGCTTAAACCTGCAATGACATGTGTCAATGCTGGGGGCAAGTCTGTAAATGTAATTGTCTAAGGGAGGGGGGAGACACTAGAAGTGAATAGGGTAAAAATTCTAAGAAATAGTTATCACCATGAAACTTCCCCAGATGATTATTTACATTAAGAAAATATTATTTTGTGTTATAAGGTTTCTGAAATTGTATGATTAAATGTGCAAATGAGACATTTTCTACTTAAAAATTGGCTTTTTCTCATACATTTCCAAAACAGGAATTTGAACATTAGATAAAGCCAATTGTTGACAAAAAGTAGTGGTTCCCGACCGGGGGGTTGGAACCTCCACTAGGGGTCACCAAAGCTTCAGTAGGGTTCAAAAGGCCTTTGTAATTTTAAGGAGTGTAAGAAAACATTAAAAATATAAAAAGTAGTATGCCTATATGTTAGCATTGTGTTCATTTCTGTGAAGAAAACTAAATTAAATTGTAATTTTTTTGAAGACCTCAGCACAAGGTATATATATATATATATTTACAGAACTTTCACTATCTGACAAACAGCCTTGTCCTGCATTAGCAAAGTACACAGTTAAAACAACAAAGAGTTAACAGAACAATGGACACGTTTTAGGCAGGATAAAACATCTGATCAATATTCACCAAATGGCTTTTTTACACAAACATCCTGCAGTTATTGTTATTGTTCACTGTTTAGTTCATTGTACAGTTTTATCTTAGTGGTTCTGTACTGTTATTATGCATTTAATATAATATGAAATATCCATAACATATGTCACTTAGTCAGTTTACTCAATGATAGAAAAGGACTCCCTTACTGAAAAAGGTTGGAACCACCATGTTTTTAGGAATGAAATGTGCTATAAATAAGGCTATGAATGATATATGAACAAACACCTCTGTAAAAACATTCACGATATAGATAAATAAAAAATAAAAAAAAAACTGGAAGGATTTGTTTATGTAACTGCTACTGAAGTGGAGATTTCTGGCTCAGAGTATAGATAAAGTGTAGTAAAATAAACACCTAAATGTGTATTTTGGGTGTTTTCTTTCCACTAGTCTGAAAGAAAATGTTATGGAAGCAAACTAGCTAAAAAGATCTTTAAAATTTTCTTTGCTTTGAATGTCTGTCTTGTCTTTGTCTCTGCCATGTTTTTTAGGTTTTTTTTTTCAGTGAATGATTCTCAGAACAAAACCCATTAATTAATTTATTGATTTTCCTTTAGTGAGCAGGAGGAAGCAGCCATGCAAACCTGTGGTTACTCCTGTTCACCCCTCAACGTGGTGGATCTTATAGTGGACATCATGTTCATCGATGACATCATCATTAACTTTAGGACGACATATGTTAACTCCAATGATGAGGTGAGCTTATCTGATTGTCTAAACTGAATAACAAACTGATTTAGTAAGAGCGCCTAATCGATCAATCCATTGACTCACTGGCTCGTTTAAAATATAAGAAACTCCAAGGTAAAACAAATGATAGCTTGTGTGCTGTCAGCTGCGGATGCAGAATATAGTTATTATCTAGATTTAAACTGCAACCACGAAGTTCAGTTGAAGGAAAAGGAAGGAAAGCGGTTTCATTCATTCATTTCTTTCCCTTTTAAAAGTTATAATACTTTATGTAAAGTTTCAGCATTAAATGTCTGTAAACACTATACCTATGTTTTAATGTTGTTAAGTTGTGTACTTACATTATCCCAAATGTTTCCAACAATAATGAAAAACCTTCTCAGTAATTTGACTTAGTTTCTCAAAATAATGATTTAGTTCTCAAAATAATGAGAAACATTCTCAATATTTTGACTTAGTATCTGATACTTGATACTATCATTATTTTGAGATGTTAAGTCAATATTTTGAGAAAGTTTCTAATTATAACGATTTTTTTCTGTTTTCCTGTCATATTGGCAGAAATGGGATTCCATAAATCAGTCCACAAGCAACAAAAAGTCAGAGAAGGTCCCATTGTATTACTTATTAGTTATGTTACAAACCATTTCACTCATTAAAAAGTGATTAATAGCCTACATAAAAGTAATATGTAAAATTATTCTGAATCTTACATATGGAACAGTTAAAGTGCAATTATTAAAGTTATTGTGTTTTGTCTCCTCAGGTGGTGAGCCAGTCTTCTCGCATTGCAGTCCACTACTTCAAAGAGTGGTTCCTCATCGACATGGTGGCAGCGATTCCCTTTGATCTCCTCATCTACCGCTCAGGAGAGGAGGTGGTTAGGGGAGGTGGCGAGGGAGAGGTAGGGAGGAGGGAGGGTTTTGGGTAAAAACTGGGATTGTAGGAAAACGAGGGCAAGAGAGAAAGAGGATAAAGAAAAGCTGGAGGCCAGAGAGACTCTAAAGACAGATTATATAGTTTTTCACTCATTTGATTCAATCACTTGGTCATATTGCTGCTCTTCGTCTCCTCTTCCTAGCAGACCACCACACTGATTGGCTTACTGAAGACAGCTCGGTTATTGCGATTGGTTCGTGTTGCAAGGAAGTTGGATCGGTACTCAGAGTACGGTGCAGCTGTCCTCTTCCTCCTCATGTGCACCTTTGCCCTTATTGCCCACTGGCTGGCCTGCATCTGGTATATTACTCTACTTTATACTTCCGCAGTATTTGCTGACTGTATTAAATGGTAAATAGACTGCACTTATGTAGCGCCTTTCTAGTCTTTCGACCACTTAAAGCACTTTACACTATACGTCACGTTCATCCATTTACACACACATTTATACAGTGTATTTTATGTGTTTGTCTTCTTTCTCTAGGTATGCCATAGGTAGTGTGGAGAGGTCAACCTCAGCTGGGATTGGCTGGTTGGACAATCTGGGCGAGCAGCTGGGGAAGCCATACATTGACTCAATCATTGAGTCGGGTCCTTCCATTAGAGATAAATATGTCACAGCTGTGTACTTCACCTTCAGTAGTCTGACCAGTGTAGGCTTCGGGAACGTCTCCCCAAACACCAACTCTGAGAAGATCTTCTCCATCTGTGTCATGCTTATTGGCGGTGAGTTCTACAAAAAAACCTGTTGGGGCTTTTGGCCATGTCAGAAAAACTTACAGAAGAGTTTTTTAGTGGTCTGTCATTTTAAATTTCGATATAGTTGAATATTACGCTCAGCTGTTGTCAAAACGGATTTTGTGAGACCATGTCACAATTAAAGAAGAAGTTTTGTTGTTTACTAACTGAATAGAAGGCAAAGAAGAAGAGATTTAGATGGTTTTTTTTATGTTCAAATTGGCAGCGATCACAAAAAACTGCTGCTAGACTGCAAGTGTATAGTTAAGTTGTATTTACACAAAACAGCATTTTAACATTTACATTGCTTAGTGTAGATGTATTCTATTAAAACATTTCCTTCTCAAATCCTTCAAAAGAAAAAAGACACGGTTAGTGTTTGCCACCGACCTAAAATGAGGATCAGTTCTGGTTAAGGTTCTGTTTCAAGGTCAGTTAAAAAAAAAAAAAAATCATGTTATGATTTGTTACAAATTATATTTAACACAACACATAACATAGCAGATATTCTCTTTGGTGAGTGGATTGGTTTTAAATATTCCAGGGAGGAACAGTACTAATAGAAACAGCCAGCCCAGATTCTGACTGCAGTGCATGTTTGCATTACACTATTGTCTTAATAAGTCTGGACCTCAGTGTGAACAGTGTGTGTGTACCGATCATTTTGAATGTGCACGGATAAGAGATTATATCTCACATCCAAGCCCACCCACGGAAAAGGTCCAGTGAACGGGCCCTCCTCTGGGCCACGAAGCAAAGCTTTCCCCTTTTTCTCAACCTTTTTGACAGCCCTGCTCACATCTTTGAACATTTGTTATCATGAGCTTTTTAATGGTGCTGCAATGCCTGCTTGCTTTGTATTGTGTTCACAACCATTTCCCTAAGGGACCCCTTTTCTATCATTTAGTAAACTGACAACCCCTGACTTATTGACAACTTTTATGGATATTTCATGTTATATTCAAAACTGTAAAATTAACCCAAATAGTGAACTCAGTAACTGCAAGGAGTTTGTGTAAAAGCAGTGATTTAAATGATAAATGGACTGTACTTATATAGCGCTTTTCTAGTCTTTCGACCATTCAATGCGCTGTACACTACATTCACACACATTCATACACTGATGGCAGTGGCTGCCATAAAAGGTGCCAACTGCTCATCAGAACGGATACTAATCATTAATACACACATTTGGTGAACATTTTATACAATTCTCTGTCTATATTATGTACTTTTTAAAATTATTTTTAACAATCATACAAACTTAATACGCTTTATTTTTTGACAAATTCAGTGTTTTCTTGTCCCTGACACATGGCCATTGTTCTATTAGCCAATTTACTTTACATTTACTTTTAATAGTGAACTACATGCTGAATTATAGGCCTACTGTGTATATTAAAGAAATAAATCCAGAAGGTCTCCCAACCTCTCGTGAAGTTTTTGCAACCCCTAGTGGGTGTTCCGACCCCCAGGTTGGGAACCACTGCCTTAGACCAATAACTAAACTGTTCCTGTCCCTCCTCCAGCTCTGATGTATGCCAGTATCTTTGGTAATGTGTCAGCCATTATCCAGCGGCTATACTCTGGTACGGCACGCTACCATGCCCAGATGATGAGAGTTCGAGAGTTCATCCGCTTCCACCAGATCCCTAACCCTCTGAGACAGCGACTGGAGGATTACTTCCAACACGCATGGTCATACACTAATGGGATAGATATGAATGCTGTGAGTATGATCTAACATAGCCATATTGGAAGTCCTCACCTCTTGAACTGCACCATGGTTTTTGTGTTTAGACAGTTTATGCTTGTTTGCTAGCTAAACAGAGTAAGCTAGCATTCTGCTTAAGATTTCAAAGCTACCAAAATTATGCAATTGATTTGGGGGGAAATGGTCAAAAGGATTTAATTGAATGAATTGTAGTTTTGTTTAGGAATATGGACTATAAGCACTATATCACTAAGTTTGTATCTGCTTTGAAATTCACTTTGAAATCCTACTTTTATAAATGAGCTTCTTAGTAGGTATCATTTTATGTGCTCAATAATAAAAATATATAAATTATACTATTATTATTATTATTGTTGTTATTATTATTATTTTAAGTAGTAGCAGTAGTAGTAGTATTGAGTACTTATCAAAATAACTTACCCAAATTATTTTTGTCAAGTGCATATTCCTAAATGAATTTGTATTTAATCATACAGTATATCTACAGTATATATACAGTATATCGAGCTCTTACTCGATCTCTCTTTTTTTCTCTTTTTTTCTATTTATTTCACTTTTTGCTTTCCTTTTTGTGGAAATTACTTTGTATATACTTTTTAAGACAGCACCGCACTTTTGTTGTTTTTGGGAGTCTCTATTTTTGACCGGCCGGTGTAACAATGCACGAAGCGGCTCGCATGTGCTTTGTTTACAGGAGGGAACAGCTGATCGCGCTGCATAGCGCTGTAAAGGCCGAAGTATGCTTGCCGCTTGAGACCTGTCGCGCGACACTGTGACGTCAAAATGACGTAGACCTCGCTGGCGCGACAGGATTTTGGCCCGCTCGCGCGAGGTCGCGCACCACTCTTTTTTTTTCAGCTGAGCGCGCCAAACCAGAAACAGGAAGCTTTCCGAGCAAGTGCGCCTCTACAGCATCTTTGTACGATCTATCTCAATGAAGGTAACACAGAGATTCCAACATTCATCTGGAGAGAAATCGCCAACTGGATGTTTTGGAGAAGAGGAGGCCATGATGCGGAAACTTTAGAAGCAACCTCGCCGCGACTGATTTGGAAACTCAAAAAAGAGGCCGCCATTGTTTTTCACCTTTTTCTTCTTCTTCTAGTGGCGTAGAAAATAGGCAAAGCTCGGTAGGCCTTTGCTCACGCTTGCGCCACCGGTCCTGTTGCAGTGAGAATACTGCACACTAGTTGTCGCGAACCACCAGACGCAGTATATCAAATAGCTTAACGACCTCCCGGACATCCGCGCGCCAGTGGCGAGTCTACACAGACGCTATATGCTGAACTTGCCAGGGGTCTTGCGATGTGCACACTAGTAGGGCCAGGACCCTTCACTACGGACTGTGAGAGGTCATTGCTACCGGCCCTGTAGTCGTCCCAGTGCCACAGGACACTCCTTTTCTTGGGCCACTGGGACCAGGCAGCGATGTTTTCCAAGGCACCTGCGCATTTCCTTCTCCTGAAGGTGCAGACTGAGGTTTGCACACAGGCTCGCCTCGGGAACACTCCACAGAGCTGGCCTTGAACATGCCTTCAGTCCCCCACGCGACGGGGCTGATGCGGATCCGGTCCAGCAGCTTTCCCTCTGTTTGAGCTCTCCAAAGTCTCTCCCCTCACGCTGGCTGGATCGCCTGATGTGAAGGTCCGAGATTGGGCGGGTGCGGGGGGTGTGGCAGGGTCCTTGAGATGGGTGTCAGCAGCTAAGTTGGGGGTATGCCCCCGATGACAACGGGTGACCGCAGAGAGTGTCTGCTGCAGGAGTGCGGCAGGGGGGCCTGTGGACATGGTGATGATGTCCTGGGGGTGGGAGGTGTGAAGAGAGTCCTACTGGTCGGATGCAGCAGGGGGGTAATGGGGATGATGAGGGTGATGTGGATGCATGAGGGCGTGCATGTGGGGGCGAGGAGGTGGTGGGGCGGTTCTTAGGAGTGTCATTCAGGGTTGTTGCTCCACGGGAAGCATTAACGGCCTCAGTATATCACCGCCTTTGCGCTGTGGCGCAAACACTGTGACGCTCAGCTGAGCGCGCCAAACCAACAGACCACAGGAAAGCTTTCCAAAGCAAGTGCGCCTCTACAGGCATCCTTGTACAGCATCCCTTCAATGAAGGAACACATGAGAATGCCAGAAATTCAAGGAAGGCCATATGCCGGAAAATTTGG